AAAGTGCCAGCAATTTCTGGTCTTTCACTTTCCATAACATTGTTAACTGCATTTAAAGTTCTTAGTTTAAAGTTTTCTTCTTTATTGGCTAATTGCTTTCTTAATGTTTCAATTTTGTTTAATAGTTTTTGGTTTTTTTCTTGTTGTTCTGTTATTATGTTTACCATGATTTTCTTCTTTTAATAATACTTATATCCTTTTTAGAGGGTATATTAAGTATATAATTATTTTAGTATTTTTTTTTACTAAAAGCTAGCAATATTTATTGAAAGATTAAACTTATTAAACTTAATGACAGTAATAACAAATGAAATACTGGAGGTGATTTTATTCTAAATATTTTATTCATTTTCAGTATAGATTGGTCTTGGGCAAGTAATATATTTGTATTCATCTTTCACAAATGGGTGAATATTATGATAAAGATATTCTTGCCTTTTGTAATCCAAAGGTGGTGGTGTTAATACTAAAATGGATAAAGCTCTAATTTCTTCCAAAATATTTACTTTCTTGGTTTTCATTAAACAGAATTCAGTAAAAGGTCCATTAGCAACTTCTTGAACTTTTACTGTACCAAAACTAGATGCTTCAAAAAGAAAATGTTGATATTTTTGTATACTTGGTAATTTCTTAAAATAAATTCCTAAAATTGCTTTAATATCTAAATACTGAAAACCTTTTTCACCTTCATAACATTGAACTTTATTTAATCCTGCTGGACTAGACTTTTTTACCACCTCAACCACATGATCCAGACAATCTACTCTTGTTCTTCTATAGAGTTTTTTAATCATCCCAAAATTGCCATCACATTTGAATTTGGTATGTCCTGGAATCATGAAATTTAATTCAATACTTTCATAATAACCACAAATTACTAAATGTAAATAAAATAAAATTGTTACATTATTTTTATTTTATCCCCCAGCATTATCACAAGTAATCTTTAAATGTTTTTCACCTTTATTCAATTTCTTAATTCCATCAAATATCATACCAGTGTTGGGAAAATGGCTGGAACTGGAACACTGGAACAAATTTTCCAGTTCCAGTTCCAGTGTTCCAGTGACTTTTTCCTGGAACACCAATGGAACACTGGAACCACTGGAACCACTGGAAAAACTGGAACCACTGGAAACAACAACGGATCACTGGAATCAATGGAACCAATAGATTTTATTTATATTTGTTAATGAAAAACTAAATTAATTTTAACTTTAATTATTTTTATAAATTTCTAATATTGTATTTTCTGAAAGTAATGACATCAACCAATTTGGGATTTTGATCCAAGTTTAAATAATCTTGCTAATTTCCATTTGGCCTCTTATTAGCAGCTGGATGCACCCTATGTTTTAACAGAATTTTTAATTCTTCTGGATCATCATCCAAATCACTTTAATCATTAGTGTCATTAAAAGTCTCATCATACAGTGCTTCAAACCAATAACTTTCAATTCCATTGTTTGATGATGAGCTGATGGAAGACCTTGATTCATTATATACTGTATATTTGGATTTATATGTGAGATGTAATAGATGGATTATCATAATTATTGTCCAATTCTGTCGTAAGATCATAAACAAACATAATAAATATTATTAATTATTGCAATTAACCCAATGATAATATAAAATACATACAATCAACATCAACATCAACTTCAATTTCTATACTATTATTTAATCTTGATTCAATTCTTTTTTGTCTCACTTCTAAATGTGAATTTACTGATTCCACTTCATCTGGAGTAATAGTTTGCAAAGTTTTCACAATTAAGTGTTTACCAATAGGTGGAACAGTATTAGAAAATTTTAATCGTGTAACCTTATGTAAGATCACTCCCACTCTTTTATTTGTATGCAGGCTTTGCATATAGCTAGACAATTACTTTTTACCATTATCTCTCTTTTGTTACAACATATTTGCAAAGCACCCAAAAGTTTTCCGCCTGTGGAACTTGTAAGCAAAGTCACAAGGTGAACATCTACAAAATGGTCATATGATCTTATCACATGGGAGCCATGTACAAAAAAAAGATAATTATCGTGAAAAATTGACATCATTCAAACTTGTCATAAAGTTTGACCCAAAAGAAAAAGAACTATATTAATATAGTGGCAGTGATAATACTCATATTTTTTCATTATTACATGTAAATATAGGTATTAAAAATAAAATTTACACAGATTTTTCATTGGTTCCAGCTGTTCCAGTGTTCCAGTTCCAGTGATTTTCCCACTGGAACTGGAAATTCCCAACACTGGATCATACTAATAGTGCCATTGGGTCCTTTCTCTATGATTTCATTTTCATTAAGAACATAATTATTTTGTTCTCTTACTGCTTCATCTTGAATACCAAATAAGTGAACTTTACATGGACTAAGGTAATAGATTTACTTACTTGTTG